CTGGAGGAGCTATAACCGAGGATACACTGATGTATCCTCCGCGGATCCCCCGGGGATGTATTTCTGGCAACAGTGATGTTTAAAAGAGTTGTGACGCACGGCCGGACTTATCTCAGCCAATGACAGCTCTGCAAACTGCTGGATATTATTTTATTAACTACTTTAATCACGACTCGATGTTTACATATATCCAGTCTCTGATAGTGTTACGTTATTATGAGAGTGCTCTCATACTTGTTTGATTCTGAAATTGTATATATTTGTATAACTATATATATATTAGGGCTGTCAAGTTAACGCGTTAATAACTAAATAAATTTAAAAAAATTAACGCCACTAATTATTTTAACGCGATTAACGCATGTGTATTTTTTGTCCTCGGCCGCCCCGTAGTTTCAGAGCGCATCGAGTTTAAAATATCATCTACAAGCTGATGCTCGCTGACAGCCCCGCTCCTGCCGCCCGCTTGTGGCAGACCACACTTCCACACTCACCGGCAGGCCCGGACTGGCCATCGGGAGGACCGGGAGGGTGTGTGTATGTGTGGTGCGAGCGAGGCACACCTTACGTGTTGTTGTTGTTAGCATCTGGTGCTAGCTAGCTGCGCTAACGGATATAAGGAGCTGTTTCAATGAAAACAGAGGAGCGACATTTCGCCGACAACTGCGCCGAGCACTTCACTTTATGCAGGTAGCCAGACAGTGGGACATTGTACGAAAAGTCAGCACACTCCGCACGGATAGTGCGCGCAACATGATTGCAGCGTCCAGGCAGCTCCCGTTCGAGCATGCCTTGAGCTGCACATAGCTCCTACGATCCATCACAGTGTCTCCACATTCACACACACACACACACACACACACACACACACACACACACACACACACACACACACACACACACACACACACACACACACACACACACACACACACACACACACACACACTTTGTATTGTATTATTGTATGAGAGAGGTTCCAGGTTGAATTGAGGCGAATATTTGTAATGTTCAGAGGTTGTTGTGTTTAATATTCATGAGAATATTTGTCATTGTTCAAATGATAATAAACAAACATATAAAGCATATTTGTCCACTCATATGTTGATAAGAGTATTAAAAACTTGAAAAATATCCGTCCAAGGTACATTTAGAACAGATAAAAAATGTGCGATTAATTTGCGATTAATCGCGATTAACTATGGACAATCATGCGATTAATCGCGATTAAATATTTTAATCGACTGACAGCCCTAATATATATATATATATATATATATATATATATGTGTGTTTGTATATGTCCGCATCTGTAGCCTGTTATTGTCTCATTATACCGCACTGTCAATGAATTAAAAGTAAATATATAAGTCGTCATGAACACATCTGTCCATCAGACAGAGTGCTGCTGTGCCTCCCGTCATCATTAATGGACGTCTCTTTAAAATGACCGCTCAGAGGAGAGGATTTCTAATTTCTCTAAACGCCTGCTGCTTCCCGTCCTCTCTCCTCGGTTCCCCTCCTCGACTCCTCCGCTCGCATCTCTTGTGGGCGGGACTAAGACACGAGGATAGGAGTCGAGGAGGGGAAATTAGAGAAATGGGAAACCTTCAAGATGGCACAGAAAAATCAATTTCCAGTGATACCGAGGAGCGAGGAAATAAAAAATAAGTAACTTGAGATCCACCCCTGGTTGAACTCTGAACGATGACAGATGCAGTGGCGTTTTTATATGTACAAAAGTGGTGGGGCACAAAAAACTTAGATGTCTATATATAAGCTTCTGCAGTGACGTGCAGTGAGGTTCATGGCTGGTGAGGCACTGGCACTGACTCTTCAGGTTTACAAATATTATATTTTGACCTAAACCAAAATATAATATTATTTTCAAAAGCTTTTTTTGTCTGATGCTTCGATTAATTTTAAACAGACAGTTCAACAAAAGGATACCCAAAAAATGTCATTTTATCATTTAAATATTGAATTGTTCTCTCTTAGTAAGATCCCATTTTCAATAAAATGGCGGTCTTACCTTGACTTGAAGATGAAGTCCATTTGCCTATCCTTCTGGACAAACATTTCTATTACTTTTTTGTAAAAGTCCTCCTTATGTTCTTGTAGTTTCAAAAGTCTATCATAAATCTAATCCATAGATTTATGATAAAAAAATTATATAAGTAGGGTAGACATGTGGATGTTATCCGGCTAATCAAAACGTGCATTTATCTAACAGGTACGTTTCCCACAGATCTTATTTCGAGCTATTTTCTAAAATCCTCTGGAGAAATCTCATTGCTTTTTTGTGCTTACTTCCTGGTTTTAGGACGCGCCACTGCAGCTCTCTCGTCTCCTCTTCACACAGCACACTTTTCGCGGCACACGTACTTACAGCCAATCAGCTCTGAATGATTTGAGATGACGTATGGTGGGGATGGTAGCTCCATGCCCCTCTGGTCATTATTTTTTTGCCACACACATTTCATTACAAAATACTCTGAGCATGCGCAGTGAAGTTTTTACAGTCACCGTTGACTTCACAGCGAGAGGAAGGGGCATAATCAGGTTTTGTCCCACATGGCTCTAAACAGCTCAATAGGCACACACTGTGACTGTAGACACACTAATTAGAAGAACACAGACTAAAACAGCAATGTACAGACGAATCAGATGATTAAACATGATCTTAAAATATATTTTATATATTTTTTTATTTATTTTTTTGCATTTTTGTAATCATTATTTGTAATACTTTCTGCTGACACTAGGTGGGGCTGTGCCCCACCTGCCCCTAATGACCAGTCGCCACTGGACAGATGGCCCCCCCCCACCCTGCACACACACTCCCCCGTGCAGTAACTGACTTTGATGAGTGACCTTATCACTTTGTTAATAAAACTGTGCAAACGGATACGTTCTTTTAGCATGCTTGTATTAATTCATATTATTGAAATAAAAACAATTGAAACTATCATAATGTTAAGGTACGGAAAATGTATTACATGAAATCTGCATATACCAAACAATTATGTGCAGTATACTATTACAAAGTACTTGGAATAATAAAATAAAATATTTGCTTGTGTACAAATGTGCTAAATATTTGGAGGGTTGTGCAGAACAGGCGATACATAAATGAAATAAATAAAAACAAGATATTGTTTTATGTGCATTAGTGTAATGCATACAGTCCAACCCAGTCTCACGGCATTTTGTGTTATAGTCACGAAATTAATCTATTGATTTGTGTTCACCAACACCATTTCCCAATTGTTTTCGTGTCACACAGAACAATTTGAAAAGCAATGTAAATAATAACAAATTAGAAGGAAAAAAATATTACAAAAAATACAGATTTCAGTATTCTGACACAGAACGATTTTAGAAGCAATGTAATGGTAGTATGTTTCGTGCCCGCACCAAATAATAACAAATTAGAAGGAAAAAAAGATTTTAAAAACACATATTTCAGTATTCTGAGGCTCTGAGCCCCATTTATTTTCCTCGCGGACGGCAAAAAAAGTCCGACATTATACAAGTCAAAATAAATACAATAATAGTGGCTTGATATTGGGTAAGAAAATGTATGAACCACACAGCTTCTGGTCTTCCAAGACCCGACCGGACAAAAAGACGTGTTGCAGGCACCAAACATACTACCAATAGAAATACATTGCTTTTAAGATCGTTGTGTGACACGAAAAAAATGGGAAAATCGTTTTGGTGAACACGAATCAATAAATTAAATTAATTTCGTGACTATTACATGATATGCCGTGAGACTGGGTTGTACAGTCTATAGAGTGGCTAAAGGCAAGTGTCAGTGGGGGTCCCAGGCCTTGTTAATGAGGCCGGTAGCAGAGCAGAAGAAACTGTTCTTGAACACACCATTGACACAAAAACCTATATGACACACTAAAACCCCAAAAATCATAACAGAGCCTCCTTAACTAGTATAACGTACTACATGTGAATACCACTGTGAGCTTTCGGGCTCACCCTTGAGTTGAAAAGGACGGAAGGAAAGGGCGAGTGGTGTAAACAAACCAAGTTTATTGCCAAAAAAGATAAATCAGGGGATCAAGGAAAAATAACACTATTTCTGGAGGCGGCGTCGGCGGAGATGGTCCCCCTCTCAGGACCCAGCCTACTGCAAGAGAACAGAACCAGCATGCTTTTATTTAGTGAGAGATCAGCTGTCTGGTCACCGGCTGAGCCACTCCCATCACTCTAGCAGCCGGTGCTCTAACCACACCCCGCTGCCACAACCACTTACTCTAACCCACTAATTAATAACTGAATACTTTAGTGTTAAAGTATTTCTGTTTTTAAGAAAATAATCCTGTTTTACAACAATTGTATTGCGAGCTTCCATGTTATTGTATTGTACAGCATGTTGGTAGACCAAGGTAAACAAATCTGTGAAATAGGAAAATGTGTGCTGACTTTTTCTGGGGCGGTGGGGTGTATTTTGCCTTTTATCGGATTTGACAGGTAACAAAACCTTATTCGATTTGATCTCTCTGTGTTTTAACTGTGTCTATATTATGGTTTTTGTTATCACCACTTTTGGGACTCTAAAGTTTGCGTATGAAGCAACCGATTATATTAATTTAATATTCATTCAAGCATATTTGCACTCTAAACTAATATTTCTTCTTTATTTAATAGTATATATATATACATATATATATATATATATATATATATGTATATATATATATATATATATATATATATATATATATATATATATATATATATGTGTTTTATTTATGTATTATTGTTTTAATATTTTTTAGTATTAATTTATTTTTATTTTTTTTTATTTTATGGCTTTATTACTGTTTCTGCAACAATAAATGAATACAATTCCTTGTATATGTTCACAAACAAAGCTGAATCTGATAAAGGTGTGAATAATAAAATTCCAAATGATTTGCATACCGTAAATGTTACACAGAAAAAGTAAAAATCAATCAAAAGGAATGAAAACTGCCATGATGGGTATGAAATCAGATTTATTGCAGATGTTCGGGTAGTACAGATTCACAATAATTCTTGTTTTCACAATCAGCCTTTTACGTATTTCTTTTTTTTTCAGCGTGTAAATGGAAAGTGAAACAGGATCCAAACACCAGAGAATCATAAAAGGAAATTATGAGAGTGTTATATGTGGCTGCTTTTGATGATTTTAAAATGCACATCAAAATGAAGGATGTGAGACAACAGAGAAGACGTTAAGCTGCTCTTTGCATTTTGTGTGCAATGATTGTTGCCTTGTAAGGAAACTGTGTCATGACACTACAAGTATCCTCTTGTCTGCCTGACAGCAAATCTAGCAACCAAAAGCCAGCCGGGCTGACTGATCAAAGGAAGAGAGGACTGACTCACATTTCTGCTGCTCTCAGTTTCTGCTCTAATCATTTCTCTATCTCGACTTGTATCCTGAAGTAATCTCTGTAGGTAGTACTGTAGGTGCCAAAGAGGGAGCAGGGACACAATAACTAAAGTCAGAGAGAGCTGAACCATTACATGGATCTGGTAAATGAGAATGGTCAAATGTTTGTGAGAAAGAGAGTTGAATGGGGTTAAGTACGTTTTATGACTGAGCGTCAGAGAGAAGGGAAGGGACAAGAGGAGGAGAACTAAATGAAAGAAAAATAAGTATGGAGGGAACAACATCTGCTGTTTTTAACGGTACTGTTTGGTGCTGCTGCTTGACGTTTTCATAATCATGCTGCCGCTGCTGCCGCCGCCGCCATAGCTGCTGCGGCTGCCGCCGCCGCCGCTGATGCTGCCGCCATAGCCGCTGCTTACACCGCCACCATAGCTGCTGCTGCTGCTGCTGCCATAGCCGCCGCCGCCGCCGCCGCCACCGCCGCTGCCATAAAAGGCGGCACCACCGCCGCCTCCGCCGCTGCCATAGCCGCCACCAAAGCCGCCGCCGCCTCCTCCACCTCCTCCTGATAATGATAATAAGAAGATGTTTTCAGATGAGATGGTAGGAATTTGAATTTCCATACAAACTTATCATCCAAACTATGTGGCTATGATAGCTTTACCAAATATCTTCTTAATTCTACCTCTTATATTTTCATGAACTGTTTAGGAAATTACTTGTATTGAAACATGTGTTGATGCATACCTGATCCTGATGATGAAGATTGGATGTGGATGGTTGCAGTTGCGCCCCCACCCGCAACTCTGCAAAGAAGAACACAAATTAGCAACTTGAGCTGCTCCCAGCACATAGTCGAACATTTTCAGAAGATGAAACATTGTGTGAATCCTAAATAGCTAAACTTTTACCTGCTTTCCTCTCCTTCCAGAAGCTTCCTGTAGGTGGCGATCTCAATGTCCAGGGCCAGTTTGACGTTCATGAGCTCCTGGTACTCGCGGACCTGGCGGGCCATGTCCTGTTTGGCTCTCTGCAGGGCATCCTCAAGGTCCCTGATGCGGAGCTTGGCGTCCTTCACTGCGATCTCACCGCGCTCCTCAGCCTCAGCGATCTGGGCCTCCAGGTTGACACGCTGAGAAGTTGGAAAGTTAGTAGAAGCCTCAGACATTTATGTCTCCATTCAAAATGCTTTTACCAAACTTTTATATATTTATTTGAGAGCTTACCTGTCCCTTGACTGACTCGATCTCGTTCTGGAGGCGGCTAATCATGCGGTTGAGCTCAGCAATCTCACTCTTGGTGTTGCGAAGGTCTTCTCCGGCATTGCCTGCACTGCTCTGGATCTCCTCGTACTGAAGGCATAGGACAAAAAAATATATTGTTATGATGTATTCAACATTTTCTCTAACTGGAGATGTTGTTGAAATGCCATTCTCTCTCTACGTACCTTCTGCTGGTACCAGCTTTCAGCATCGTTCTTGCTTTTGTTGGCGATTTCCTCATACTGAGCCTTGACTTCAGCCACAATGGAATCCATGTCCAGGCTGCGGGTGTTGTTCATCTCCACAATGACTGAAGTGTCCTTGATCTGTCCCTGGAGCTCATTGAGTTCCTGCACAAGATATATTTGTCATATTTAAAAAGTAGGAGAGTTAAAAGGGTAGAATGTTGGTTTGTATTCTGCATCTTTACAATTAATGTTAAGTACATTAGCGAGTTTTTCATAATATTAATGACAGATATAAACCAACATGACAGGGCTATGGTGTGGTTCATTTTGCTTACCGCCTCATAGACAGCTCTGAGGAAATTGATCTCATCCTGAAGGGAGTCAACCTTGGCCTCCAGCTCAACCTTGTTCATGTAGGCGCCATCTACATCCTGTTAGAGGAGAAGAAGATCGTCTCTATTGGTCATTTCAAGTTGAGAGCAACAATTCATTGCAACTAGATAAGGCGATTTCTGAAAAAGAGTGCTGGATAATGTAAAGCTGATTGCATTGTTGGCTTTAAGTGTTGAATATTGCTGATGATGCATCACAGATGAGTTTAGATCAGTAGATAAGAAATAAAATGCATTCCAATATATGATGGAACTTTATCGACCCTCACCTTCTTCAGGAGCACAAACTCATTCTCCACACTGGCACGCTTGTTGATTTCATCTTCATATCTGACAAAGAAAGTGGGAAAGAATTAGGTGATGGTTAAAAGACTTGTGGACTTCAACAACTGTAGGTCAACTGTCGCATTCAGAGATGGTTTGTTGTGCTGGGGTTTTTCTCACTTGTTCTTGAAGTCCTCAACCAGGCCCTGCATGTTCCTCAGCTCTCCCTCCAGCTTCATCTTCTCGTTGCCGAGCCCGTCGAGCTGTCTGCGCAGGTTGGCGATGTAGGCCTCGAACATGGCGTCAATGTTTGAGCGGGTGGTGGTCTGATCCTGCAGCAGGCTCCATTTGGTCTCCAGAACTTTGTTCTGCTGCTCCAGGAAGCGGACCTAAAAGATAAAATAATTGTAGGGTTAGATCCACTCCGCAAAAAACATGGTAGTCCGATTATGTAGTTAATAAAACAATATTACAGGAAACACTGGGGATAATGCACATATATGAATTTAACTACATAGAAGTAGTAGACTTTATTTACTGTTGCTTCTCTGCATGATTTGGCATGCCCACTCTTAGATAATAAATGTGTTTTACTTCCCTCAGGTGATCCATCGGGCCTCACCTGTGTGTGACTTTCCCCAAACAAAAAAACCCTGTATGTACCCATGCTAGCAGCTCCCTTACTATAATGCCCAACCAGGGCAGGGAAGTTTGAGACATAATAATTGTGCAGTGTAGTAGAACTGCACAAATGAGGTCATAGATTTAGAAAATCTGTCATGACCTTGGAAAACATGTTTAAAAGCCTGTCCCTATGAGGCAGAAAAATGCATGCAAGGCACAGAGTACAGTTCTCTGCAATCCAGTTTTAAAAACCCTTCAGTAGGTGGAGCCCATCCCTACAGTTAGGGTATGTACGTGTGCCTGTAGGGCTTCATTTTTTTTTGAAGATCAGGTGAGGTGTACCGTGCCACACCTCAAACCAGCCCCTCCCCTCAAACGCCCACACCCTCGCATCCAGGATGCATACTTTCACTGAGTGAACTTGTCTGCCACAGCCCTAAGAAATTAATCCATCATGCCCGAAGGATATTAACTGTCACATCCATTGAGTGCCTTAGATATTTCATTTTATACAAAATATCTAATCTAAAACACTCAAATGTAATAATGTATTACTTATTAGTAGATTGAGTTTTTAAATGAACAGTATTTTTCTGAATCGATAAATAGTAAAGACAAATGGGGTGTGGTTGGAGCATTTTCTCCTGCTGGGTGTGGTTCCCTTGTTATTTATGATCTCTAACAGAAACATTCTCGTCTTCTATGCAAGTTTTTCAATTATGCATGAAAGTTGGTGAAGTAAAACACTCAACAATAGTCTCACCCCTTGTCTTTTGGAAATGCAAAGACATTTGTATGCAATGCATTTAAATGACTTAAGATGGGGTCCCATTTCTGCAGCACCACTCAGAGTTTGAGAGTCCTTGCTGCCATGGGAATAGGTGTTAACCTGATCCCTTCTTTCCCTCTTGCGTAGAGCCACCAGTCATTGGATATGAACTCCCTGGTGTTTCCTGTCTCGCAGTCCACACAGCGACAGATGGCAAAGGGCCAATTATTGTGTAAAGCAAATTAAAGGAGCAATGATCTGCTTTCAGTGTAAGTGCAAAGGTCAGCTGATGCACAGTATTGCATTCTGTTTGAAATGAAAGGTGCCCACACAGCAGTTTTGCATGACTGAATAAAACATATTCATCCCCACACCATTGCTCTCGGTAGTATTGGTTTTCAAAGTAGGCTTTAGCTAGGCCCTTGCTGCACACATTGTTCAGGTTTGTATGAGTTGCTGTGTAATATTTAATGAGCCCAGGTGGCCCCTTAGAGAAAGTGTGCAGAGCCATTTACGCTTGCACAAACTGAACATGAACTATGCAGTGCATCCCACATCTTTTCCCATTATTTCATGTACCTTTCTTAAACTACATAAATATCTATTATTCAGCCAACTAAGGGCTTCAAACATATCAAAAACACTGTTGTAGGACATAAACTTAAAGTAGAAGAGGGCTCCTCACCTTGTCAATGAAGCTGGCGAAGCGGTTGTTCAGGGTCTTGATCTGCTCTTTCTCATGGGTGCGGACGGTGCTGATGTTGGGGTCGATGTCAATGTTAACGGGTGCCAGCAGTTGCGTGTTGACTGTGACGGCTGTGATGCCCCCACCACCTGCACCAGGGAAACCACCACCACCACCGCCTTGACCGAAAGAGATGCCATATGCACCACCACCGTAACCTCCAGCGCCACCAAATCCACCACCAGCACCACCACCACCACCACCAAATCCACCACCACCACCAAATCCACCACCACCGTATCCACCACCACCACCACCACTACCACTCATCAAGGATGATTGATATGAGCTAGAGATTTGTGGTCGAGCACCATATGTGACAGATTGTGAGGAAAAGGATCTTTGGCCTCCTCCACCTCCAGCTCCACCTCCAAAGCTCCTTCCACCTCCATAGCTGCTTCCTCCACTTGCACCTCCAAAGCTTCCTCCACTTGCACCTCCAAAGCTTCCTCCACCTGCACTAGTTCTCACGCTGCTGGATCTCGAGGTTTTGGTAGTTCTGAACGACATTGTGTTCTCTGAGAGGAAAGGATTCACAGAGAAAAGGAGCAGAAAGAGAGGTTTGACAGAGCAGTGGAGCACACTAAGAGGAGAGTCAAGTCCCTCTAAGTGTCTTCTCTCTGTCCGTGATGGGTTTATATCTTCCTTTGACTCTGGAGGAGGTTCCAGTGAGCTCCACCTCCTCTGCACCTCCCCCTCAAACCTCCTCCAATTACATGGATCCTGGAAGGTGCACTTTCGGGCAGGGAGATCGGCATGAGGCAGCTCAGCCTGTCAGACAGGTAACAGTGCCACCCCTGTAAAGCGATGGTGGCAGGACACACCCAGGTGTTCGCAGAGGAATGGCATCAGAGGCAGGGGTGAGAGGGAAGAACAGACATGTTTGGCAAAGACTGTTTATTTGATTGGCCTGGAGCGTGGTGAGAGTTGAAGGAGTCAGCAGATGGGGCTTATACTCACTTATCCACCATTTTCTTCATCTTGCAAGATATATAAAATGTGAATATTTGGTTTTTGGAAGTTTGTTAAATAACACTAGATCTACAAAACACATTCTGAGCAGCTGTGAAAGCTGATGCTGCATACGTGTGAATGCATGCATTTAAATACAAATACATGTAAATGTGCATTTATTCATAGATTCCTAAAGATATGAAAGGTTTACTTACACACTACTTGAAATTGGGAGAGCAGAAATATCAGATAAACCGGGAAAAATTAAACTCAAAACTATCTGCATGGATGAATACCACAAGGGATGAGTGACGGAATGTCTTAGCCTTACTGCATGATTAAAGGGTCAGTTCACCCAAATGACAAACAATCGGTGAGATAATAGAGGTACTCGTTCATACAAGTAGACAAATCTTTCAATACTCAAAAATAGTTGCATTATGTCATATTCTTTCACATACATATCAAGCAGGATAACTCTGAATTGACATAAATGTTAAAGATGTTTATGGAGATGGAATATCTTCAGCAGAACATATAGGGCATAAAAGCAGGTAATCTTGGATACAGTAAAAAAAGTCAAACTCAACTTCAAAGAAAGAAAAGCTAAACTCAAGTCAAGATAAATAATGGGGTCAGGATTTTGTTCGTTGGTTTGGGGTTATCATTCCCCTTCTTATACAATGGTAAACGTTTTAGATGAAGTAGTAGCATTCACAGAGTAAAGGTCTTCATTACCCTGAAGAGGAAACTGGTTTTGCAGGAGCTTCCCTGCAGGCTGCAAGGTACTTACCATCTGCACAGAACTCGATGGCTACACATTACGCTACTGTAGGAAAAATGTCTAAAACAGAATGCTCTTTTACTCACAAATGCACGAATCAGGGGAGTCATAAAGTGATTTAACGATAAATGGTTAAAGAACTATCCCACATTTTGAATCCTAGAGTTATTTGTACATGTACTCGATGCGTTCGTGCCTGCAGTTTGAAGGTGCTTGAGGGCACTGGCCTATCTTCAATAGCACTGATAACCTTTAGTTGAAGTCACTACTTATTATGAACTTATATTACACCTTTGTAGTCATTTCAACTTTAGAAAATGTCATTTTCAACTTGGATCTTTGCATTATTCTCAGCTTGCAGCTAAAATAAAGTTAGAGAGTTCAGGGAGACAAGCCTTTTTTTCTTCTTTTTTTTTGAGAGATCTGGATTTTTGATAGGACCCAGCCTACTGCAAGAGAACAGAACCAGCATGCTTTTATTTAGTGAGAGATCAGCTGTCTGGTCACCGGCTGAGCCACTCCCATCACTCTAGCAGCCGGCGCTCTAACCACACCCCGCTGCCACAACCACTTACTCTAACCCACTAATTAATAACTGAATACTTTAGTGTTAAAGTATTTCTGTTTTTAAGAAAATAATCCTGTTTTACAACAATTGTATTGCGAGCTTCCATGTTATTGTTTTACCAAGGTAAACAAATCTGTGAAATAGGAAAATGTGTGCTGACTTTTTCTGGGGCGGTGGGGTGTATTTTGCCTTTTATCGGATTTGACAGGTAACAAAACCTTATTCGATTTGATCTCTCTGTGTTTTAACTGTGTCTATATTATGGTTTTTGTTATCACCACTTTTGGGACTCTAAACTTTGCGTATGAAGCAACCGATTATATTAGTCATTTAATATTCATTCAAGCATATTTGCACTCTAAACTAATATTTCTTCTTTATTTAATAGTATAACAGGACAATAAAACAATAATACATAAAACACACACGTATATATATATATATATATATATATATATACGTGTGTATACGTGTGTGTTTTATGTATTATTGTTTTAATATTTTTTAGTATTCATTTATTTTTATTTTTTTTTATTTTATGGCTTTATTACTGTTTCTGCAACAATAAATGAATACAATTCCTTGTATATGTTCACAAACAAAGCTGAATCTGATAAAGGTGTGAATAATACAATTCCAAATGATTTGCATACCGTAAATGTTACACAGAAAAAGTAAAAATCAATAAAAAGGAATGAAAACTGCCATGATGGGTATGAAATCAGATTTATTGCAGATGTTCGGGTAGTACAGATTCACAATAATTCTTGTTTTCACAATCAGCCTTTTACGTATTTCTTTTTTTTTCAGCGTGTAAATGGAAAGTGAAACAGGATCCAAACACCAGAGAATCATAAAAGGAAATTATGAGAGTGTTATATGTGGCTGCTTTTGATGATTTTAAAATGCACATCAAAATGAAGGATGTGAGACAACAGAGAAGACGTTAAGCTGCTCTTTGCATTTTGTGTGCAATGATTGTTGCCTTGTAAGGAAACTGTGTCATGACACTACAAGTATCCTCTTGTCTGCCTGACAGCAAATCTAGCAACCAAAAGCCAGCCGGGCTGACTGATCAAAGGAAGAGAGGACTGACTCACATTTCTGCTGCTCTCAGTTTCTGCTCTAATCATTTCTCTATCTCGACTTGTATCCTGAAGTAATCTCTGTAGGTAGTACTGTAGGTGCCAAAGAGGGAGCAGGGACACAATAACTAAAGTCAGAGAGAGCTGAACCATTACATGGATCTGGTAAATGAGAATGGTCAAATGTTTGTGAGAAAGAGAGTTGAATGGGGTTAAGTACGTTTTATGACTGAGCGTCAGAGAGAAGGGAAGGGACAAGAGGAGGAGAACTAAATGAAAGAAAAATAAGTATGGAGGGAACAACATCTGCTGTTTTTAACGGTACTGTTTGGTGCTGCTGCTTGACGTTTTCATAATCATGCTGCCGCTGCTGCCGCCGCCGCCATAGCTGCTGCGGCCGCCGCCGCCGCCGCCGCTGATGCTGCCGCCATAGCCGCTGCTTACGCCGCCGCCATAGCTGCTGCTGCTGCTGCTGCCATAGCCGGCGCCGCCGCCGCCGCCGCCACCGCCGCTGCCATAAAAGGCGGCACCACCGCCGCCTCCGCCGCTGCCATAGCCGCCACCAAAGCCGCCGCCGCCTCCTCCACCTCCTCCTGATAATGATAATAAGAAGATGTTTTCAGATGAGATGGTAGGAATTTGAATTTCCATACAAACTTATCATCCAAACTATGTGGCTATGATAGCTTTACCAAATATCTTCTTAATTCTACCTCTTATATTTTCATGAACTGTTTAGGAAATTACTTGTATTGAAACATGTGTTGATGCATACCTGATCCTGATGATGAAGATTGGATGTGGATGGTTGCAGTTGCGCCCCCACCCGCAACTCTGCAAAGAAGAACACAAATTAGCAACTTGAGCTGCTCCCAGCACATAGTCGAACATTTTCAGAAGATGAAACATGGTGTGAATCCTAAATAGCTAAACTTTTACCTGATTTCCTCTCCTTCCAGAAGCTTCCTGTAGGTGGCGATCTCAATGTCCAGGGCCAGTTTGACGTTCATGAGCTCCTGGTACTCGCGGACCTGGCGGGCCATGTCCTGTTTGGCTCTCTGCAGGGCATCCTCAAGGTCCCTGATGCGGAGCTTGGCGTCCTTCACTGCGATCTCACCGCGCTCCTCAGCCTCAGCGATCTGGGCCTCCAGGTTGACACGCTGAGAAGTTGGAAAGTTAGTAGAAGCTTCAGACATTTATGTCTCCATTCAAAATGCTTTTACCAAACTTTAATATATTTATTTGAGAGCTTACCTGTCCCTTGACTGACTCGATCTCGTTCTGGAGGCGGCTAATCATGCGGTTGAGCTCAGCAATCTCACTCTTGGTGTTGCGAAGGTCTTCTCCGGCATTGCCTGCACTGCTCTGGATCTCCTCGTACTGAAGGCATAGGACAAAAAAATATATTGTTATGATGTATTCAACATTTTCTCTAACTGGAGATGTTGTTGAAATGCCATTCTCTCTCTACGTACCTTCTGCTGGTACCAGCTTTCAGCATCGTTCTTGCTTTTGTTGGCGATTTCCTCATACTGAGCCTTGACTTCAGCCACAATGGAATCCATGTCCAGGCTGCGGGTGTTGTTCATCTCCACAATGACTGAAGTGTCCTTGATCTGTCCCTGGAGCTCATTGAGTTCCTGCACAAGATATATTTGTCATATTTAAAAAGTAGGAGAGTTAAAAGGGTACAATGTTGGTTTGTATTCTGCATCTTTACCATTAATGTTAAGTACATTAGCGAGTTTTTCATAATATTAATGACAGATATAAACCAACATGACAGGGCTATGGTGTGGTTCATTTTGCTTACCGCCTCATAGACAGCTCTGAGGAAATTGATCTCATCCTGAAGGGAGTCAACCTTGGCCTCCAGCTCAACCTTGTTCATGTAGGCGCCATCTACATCCTGTTAGAGGAGAAGAAGATCGTCTCTATTGGTCATTTCAAGTTGAGAGCAACAATTCATTGCAACTAGATAAGGCGATTTCTGAAAAAGAGTGCTGGATAATGTAAAGCTGATTGCATTGTTGGCTTTAAGTGTTGAATATTGCTGATGATGCATCACAGATGAGTTTAGATCAGTAGATAAGAAATAAAATGCATTCCAATATATGATGGAACTTTATCGACCCTCACCTTCTTCAGGAGCACAAACTCATTCTCCACACTGGCACGCTTGTTGATTTCATCTTCATATCTGACAAAGAAAGTGGGAAAGAATTAGGTGAT